CAGCCTTGCGGGGATGTGTCAAGTACAATTCTCCTGCTCAGAAACTTTATGAGTTCTCTTTCCTATGTCTAGATTTTAACAATTTAGATGTTGGCTAAATTGTGGCTAATGTTAGGGAGGGTAGGAAGTTATTTGCTGCTTTGATCAGCAGGATCCCTGTCTCTGAGGTGTGATTGCCTAGAGGGATCAATCCCATCAAAAGACTGGGGAGTTGGTAGCTCTAAGGAATATATGTTTTGCCAGCTACTTCTCCCAGTGTGGCAGTCATGAACATGAGCATCATTCCAGAATCTTTGGCGTCTAGAACCAACTCCATTCTGAACATTTTAATATCCATTAACATCTATTAATACTTTGGTAATTATCTTTTATATGCAGGAATTTTGTAGCATGAACTTTATGACTAAAGTTATTGTGTTAAATTATTTAGAAATGTTGAGTTTCTGAATGTTATTTTGTGAGATTTGTTTTAAAATAGTAATAAATTGTGTTATTTTATAAAATTAATTTGTATCTTTTTTGTTACATAACCAATAGTTTTACCTATTAAAGAGCAACTATCTGAACTTTGGATATTCAATTCCAAAAAATTGTCTTTGGATAACATATTCCATAGCTTCATATGTGTGTGGGTGTGTATGTATGTGTGTGTGTGTGTGTGTGTGTGTGTGTGAGGTGTGAGAGACTGACTCATTTAAAAAATATATATATATATATTTTATAGAGAGAAAGGTAGAACGATAGAGAGTTAGAAACATCAATGAGAGAGAGACATTGATCAGCTGCCTCCTGCACAACCCTTACTGGGTATGTGCCTGCAACCAAGGTACATGCCCTTGACTGGAATCGAACCTAGAACCCTTGAGTCTACAGGCTGACACTCTATCCACAGAGTCAAACCAGTTAGGGCTAATTCATTTTTTTACCCCCATACTCCCCAATAGTTCATTTCCAATGATAATGTTCTCTCTGGGTCTGTAAGTCTTCTCTAGTTCTCTGGGCACCATTTAAAACTGATTAGGATCCTAGAAAGAGTGCCACAGGTACAGCAAGTTACTGCTGCACGTCACCATTCCTGGTTCTTTTCTTAGTTTCAGAGTGTACAAGGTTAAGGTTGGCTGATGCGCCCTTGATTTGTGGTCTGGAATAACCTCAGACAAGAAACAGGAAGAACTGAGCACTAGCAGTATCATTACATTTTCCCAGCACATATGTCAGCCAAATGTTATTTTGGTCACAGAATAGGACCTATAGTGCAGTTTCTATTTCTTTACTTTAAAAAATATATATTATTTAAGATATTACAAATAGTAGTACATGTCTCCTCCCCCCACCCCCCATTGACTTCCCCTGGTCTCCCCTACCTTTTCCCCTATACTGCCCTCCCCCCAGTGTCTTGCATCTATTGGTCGTGCTTATATACATACATTCAAGTCCTTTGGTTTATCTTTTACCCCCCCAACCCTGACAGTCTACTTTATTCCATAGTTCTTTGGTTATAAGGATATATTTCTTGCTACTGCCCTCCTTTAAAAAGCAGATTTTAATGAACCCATAGAGAAAACTTTAATTTGAATCATAGTTAATTATTTTTAGTTCATTGTTTTCTAGAACAAAGGATGGACATTTAGAATCCTAATATTGTTTTATACTATTTTCATGTGTTGTATTAAATATTTATGGGTGTACACATAGATATATACAATTGTTATCCTATATAATAAGAGTAATATGCAAATTGACCATACCTCTGCTACACCCACAAGCCATGCCCACTAGCCAACCAAGAGCAAATATGCAAATAAACCCAAATAAGATGGCTGTGGCCACAGAGAGCAGGAGGGAGGCTTGGATTTCCCTGGCAATGGAGGAAACCAAGCTTTTCACCTGCCCTTGCCGGCCTAGACCTCCACTCAGTGATACAAAGTTTCAATTATAGAAGGTAAATAAATTCCAACAGAAATGGTGGCAGCCACAGAGCTGGAAGAGCAGGAGACTAGGGTTGCCCCTGGCGATGAAGGAAGCCAAGCTTCTGCAGTCCTGACTGACCTAGGCCACTGCTCCAGGCTACAAAGTTTCAACTGTAGAAGATAAATAAATCCCAGATACCAGGACCTCTGCTTGGGTCGCCAGGGGGTGTGGCTAGCCTGCAAACCACCACAGGCCCTTCACCTAGGCTGCCCCACGCCCCAAGGGAACCCCCACCCTGATCTAGGACACCCTTCAGGGCAAACCAGCTGGCCCCCACCATGCAATAGTCCTCTATCCTATCTAATGAAAGAGAAACATGCAGGTTGACCATCACTCCAACACACAAGATGGCTGCCACCATGTGGTCAAAGATCCTGCCCCCATGGGGACACAAGATGGCCAGCAGAGGAGAGCAGTTGGGAGGGACCAGGCCTGCAAGGGAGGGCAGTTGTGGGCAATCAGGTCAGCAGGGAAGGGCAGTTGGGAGGGGCCAGGCCTGCAAGTGAGGGTAGGTGGGGGCAATCAAGCCAGGGGAGGGCAGTTAGGAATGACCAAGCTGGCAGAGGAGGGAAGTTGGGGGTGTGTGGGAACCGGGCCTACAGGGAAGGGCAGTTGGGCAGGACCCAGGCCTGCAGGGGAGAGCAGTTGGTGGGGACCAGGTCTGCAGGAGAGGGCAGTTAGGGGAAAACAGGTTGGCAGGGAGCAGTTAGGCATCAATCAGGCTGGCACAGGATTGGTTAGGGGGTGATCAGGCTGGCAGGCAGAAGCGGTTAGGGGCAATTAGGAAGGCAGGCAGGCAGGCGAGCAGTTGGGAGCCAGCAGTCCTGGATTGTGAGGGGGATGTCCCAGATTGGAGAGGGTGCAAGCTGGGCTGAGGGACATTCCCTCCACCACCACCCCTGCACGAATTTCGTGCACCAGGCCTCTAGTATATAATAAAAGAATCCTAGGTGATGACTCTCCCTCTTAAAATTCAATCAACTCTGATTTTTAAAAAGGTGTATCCTTCCTTATGTGCAGATATAGGATGCCCATAACGTATTTGGTTAAAAATGAACCCATTATTTGTTTTTGTTATGAGTGTAGGTATCGAGTAGGAGTGTGAACATGTATGTGGTGACTGGTTGTGTGTATGTGGAGAAATGGGAATGATGATTGGGAGACTGGTATAGAGGGGGAAGCATGTTTGTGGTAGAGTGTTCTGGGGAAGGTGGGAGTGAATGTATGAAACAGGATTGTGAGAGGTGAGGGGAGTGTGTGTGTATTAGCACATTGTGTGCGTATGGGGGTGGGGCAATGGACAGGGAAGCTATGTGAGATGTGAATGGGGGAGGGGGAAATGACATGTTTATGGGGAGGGGAGATTTGCCTTTCTGTTGTGGGAGTCAAACTTGTGGAGCCGTGTAAAGAGAGTGAAGGAAGTGAGATGAGTGTATAGACATCTGTTAGAACATATACAAGTATTAGCCTTTAGGAATCATTTTTGTCTTATGATTGTTAGAATAGGTTGGCTATCATTTTATTTGGTTGGTTGGCTTTAATTTTAAAGCTTGTTACTGGGGGAAATCTTCACTGAACACTATGTTCATGTAACCACTTCTGGATTTACAAGGACCTGGATCTCCAAAGATGGACATCTTCTGTCACTGAATCTCTGTAGCCAAATAAACATGTTTTAAAGCCGTACTTCCCTTTTTATATCCTCTTGATATAAAATGGCTGCTGTAAAACCGAAGCATTCATTTTACACAGCTGTGAGTTACCCCTGCAGCAAAATAAACACTTTAAGCTGAAAGGAACTTTTTTTTTTTTTTAAATATATTTTATTGATTTTGTACAGAGAGGAAGGGAGAGAGATAAAGAGCTAGAAACATTGATGAGAGAGAGAGTCATCGATCAGCTGCCTCCTGCACATCCCCTACTGGGGATATGCCCGCAACCAAGGTACATGCCCTTGACCGGAATCGAAGCCGGGACCTTTAAGTCCCCAAGCCGACGCTCTATCCATTGAGCCAAACCAGTCCCGGCTGAAAGGGACTTTTTAAAAGGGGAGGAAAAAATGCTCGATGACTTCCTCAGCCCCATTTCTGGATTTCCTAACATTTTAGAGTAAGTTAATATTTACTTGAGGTTTGATTTTTCTTTAGTGACTTGAAGTCTAAGAAAAAATACAGATCTTAATTACCTGAAATTTTTTAATATATGTCAGAAAGTGAGACTAGAATTTTTAAAATTTTTATTTGTATACGTGTATTTGATAACTTCAAACTTAGAACACTAGAACCAGCACAAGTAAAGAGAAATACAAATCAAAGACAGAGATTTGAAATGGGGGAATGAATACTGTAACTGATTCATATTAACCTCCCCATGCAATTTATATGTTGTACACTGAAAATTTTAATGTACACAGCTTTATAATTGTACTTTTCTAATACACTATTTTGCAGTCTCAGGATACTTTCCAATTAAACTGATCCTGATGTTAACAGGTGAAAAATAAGAAATTAGCACTGTAAAGCTGAATCACTAAGAATATCTAATTCACATTTCTTCCCATCAATATAAATCAGGAACAATTCGCAGTAAACAGAAAAACTATTCATGTTAATAACAACAACAGTTCATATTTTTACGGAACACTTCTTGTGTTAGCCAGGCTCTGAACTAAACAACTGAACATGCAATTCCACATGTAGGTATCTCGGTGAGAAAGTCTCACAAGTTTCACATTTTCCCCCCAAACTGATGGGGTCAAGATGACAGCTTGCACTGAGCACCTGTGTCCAAGCCTTTCCCTGGCGTTTTAGCATGCTAGCATGGCACGTGTAGCAGCTCAGGGTGCTCTCTGGCACAATTTTACTAATGCTACATGAATATGCAAGGCCTGACTCCCCCCGCCCCTCCCCCCAAAACACAAAAAACATATAGGACTTGACTAAGAAACACGCCTATAAGACAGCACAAAGAAGCTGTTACCTAGGTCTGCATTACCTAGGTCTGCACTAAAAACCCCCCTTTCCGGGGCCTCAGAAGCTCCCGTCCAGGCCTAACTGCAGGAGGGCGGCCTCGGCCTCCTCCTCCTCCTCCTTGGCTTCCTCCTCGCGGATCTGCACCAGGAGCTGGAAGAGGTTGGGGGCCGGCCCCTCGGCGGCGCCCGTCAGCCACAGCTGCCTGCGGATGGACCCGCTGTGGTTGGCGCCCGCGATGACCTGCTCCAGGCGGGCCTGGTTCACGCTGTCCTTCTCGATGGCGCCCTTCTCCACCACCTTCTGCAGCAGGGGCTCCAGGCGGATGACGTACGCCGACAGCTTCTCCCCCGGGTTCTGGTACGTGTTCAGAAACCGCACCTGCGCATCCCTGGAGCTCTCCACGCTCCCGAACACCTGCTCCAGCGCCTTGAGGCACTCGAGGGTGGTGATGGCGGGGTTGTTGGTCTTGAGGATGCGGACGACGTCGGCGGCGGGGCCCCGGAGGCTCTCCATCAGCCGCCGCCGCTTCTCCGTGTCCGACACCTGCCACTCGGAGAGGACCTCGTGGGTGTGCTCCAGCCAGGGGTCGAAGGTCTCCTCGCCGGGGCCCGGGACGTCCTTCCCCGAGAACACCGTCAGCTTCTTGTACCAGATGGACTCCACCAGGGGCTGGATGACGTTGTCCAGGATGTAGCTCAGCATCTCGGCCGGCATGTCCGGGCCCGGGGCCGGAGCCGGGGCCTGGAACCCGAGGACGCGGGCCACGTCCGGCACGGTCCAGCCCTCCCGCGCCAGGAACAGGTGCAGCCTCTCCAGGAACTCGGCGTCGGAGGTCGGGGGCTTGTACACCACCTTCCAGACGCCGCCCTTGCCCGGCATCTCCCGGGGGATGGCGGCGTAGTCCACGGCGCCCGTGAGCTCCAGCAGCGCGGCCTTGGCGTTCTCCTCCCGCCAGAACATCCGCCCCAGCACGCGGTAGGGCACCTGGGGCATGGCCGCCTGCAGCGTCTCCTCGATCTCCGCCTCGTCGCAGTTCACCGGGATCCCCCACACCAGCAGGGCTCGCTGCGCGTTCACATCCATCCCCCGGCACCAGTCTTCCAGCAGCGTCATCGCCATCTTCCCGGCTCTACGGACGGACGCGGGGCGGACGGCGGCAGGCACTCCCCGCAGAGATGCCCGAGGGGGGCGGGCGTGCCGTTCCCAGCCGCACCGGCCGCCGCGGTCCCCGGAACGCAGCGTCGGGAAGGCTCGGGGGCCGCGGCCGGGGTCCTCTGCCTGCGGGCGCGGGGCGGCCTCGGGGCGCCAAGGCTGGGAGCGGGGGCGCGGCCGCAGGGCGGTCGTGGCTCCCGGAGCGGATCCGGCGTTCGCGGCGGAGCCGGGCGCTCGGGCGGCCGGGGGGTGGCTGCTCAGCCGCCGGCGAGGGCCGCGCCGCCCCCGGAGGGAGCGACTGTTGGAGGGCCGGTCCGCCGGGCGCTCCTGGGCGGTGCGGGGAGCCCACCGGGCGGCGCGGGCTCCGAGGACACGGGCAGCGCGGGCAGCGGCAGGTGGCGGGGGAGGCTGCGGCTGCGGGTGCCCGGTGGTCCAGCCGAGCAGTTGCTGCCGCAGTGCAGGGTGGGGCCGCCCCGTGCGTGGTCGCCGCGCGCCCCGCCCCGCGGCCCACGCAGCGCCAGGGTAGCCATGGCAACGGCGGCGGGGACCTGAGCTCCGCGCACTGCCGCAGCCCGCGGGGGTTGGGGTGGGGGGGAGTCCAGCGGTTGCTATGGTGACAGCCAAGGTCTCTGGTTTCTCTGATGGCTCATTTCTTTTTCCAGATTTTTTTTTTTTAAACAAAGCGCCGCGTTGAAAAGATAATAATAATACAGTGGATCTAAGATGATGCTGTTGAAAATACATCTACGGTGTGGCTCAGTGGATAGAGCGTGGGCCTGCGGACTGAAGGGTCCCGGGTTTGATTCGGGTCAAGGGCATGTATCTTGGCTGCGGGCACATCCCTGGTAGGGAATGTGTAAGAGGCAGCTGGTTGATGTTTCTCTCTCATGGACGTTTCTAGCTCTCTCTCTTCCTTCCTCTCTGTAAAAATCAATAAAATATATTTAAAGGAAATGCATCCGTCTGTGGCTGGTTCAACATGAAGACACCCTCTTCCGTCACCCGGGCTTCCTGATGCCACTGGATCGCATTCTCCACCCTCCGTATTTCATCCGAATGGAACTGAAATGTGGAAGAGTGCCATTTACATGCTTTCGCGTGAGACAGTGAGTTCAGATTGCTCGAAAATTTTGTAAAAAGATTTATATCCAGTAATCTTTGTAGCCAGGAGAATGTTGGGGTGTTTATTTCTCCAGTTCTGACATCATTGAGGTGAGAAAACAGAATCCTTACGGTTCAAAAATGTCCAATAATCGCCCCCTGCAAGCAAAACAAGGCCTACTTACGTCAATCCCAGATGGTAAAAATCTCCCCTACGGAACACAGCCTGCAACGCTGAATTTTTAAAACCTTATTTAATAAAAGGTTTAAAGATACAGAAGAACATTCAAAAGTAAATAAGTTACATAGATACATTACAATCACATCAGCAAGATTTTCTTTAGTGTATTAATTTTTTTATATAAAAAGCACACAAAAAATAAAATCTTCAGTCTGGTCTATTACAACTGTACAGCAAAAGAGGTCATATTTATATATATGTACACTATTTTAATATGTAACAGTCTTTTTAAAAAAGGGTGCCACAGGCAGCAAACACACAAAAGGCAGTGTCTGATCATTTTTTTCTTCAAAATAAAAGGAATATAGTTATTTATATGCTATTAAAATATTTATACAATAATTACAGATCAACTGTCAAGGCTGTTCCTGTGCTGTTCCCTCCAACAAGGCCTTCAATTGAGAGACAAGTGAGAAAAAGGTGAAACAGCTGCAGATTATTAGAGGCAAAGATCAACATTTCAGCTAAAGAGTGGAGGACATACAATTGTTCTATAAAAGTATGCATACTTCCTGTAAACCTAAGGAGTTAGGCTTTGCCAGTCTGGCAATAAATACCACCCAAATGAGCCCCAGGGAAAGCATGTTTAAACAGTTAGGGCTTGAATATATGTCATATTCCTCCATCATCTGAACCTCTGGCACACGAGAAGAAAGGTTAGGTCACTGAGGCAGTTAAATATAGGGGATCCCTTTAGACGTAAGCAGCACGCGACCTCTGTGCCAGGGGTGGAGGCGGGTGGCAGGAGGGACGGGTGTGTACCTTCGCTGGGAAGGGGGCTGCTAAAGGCGTGGAGGACAGTTCCGAAGCACTGCCTCCTCAGGTGGGTAAGAGACCTCAGACACGGTCTGGATTTCCAGGCACTAGGTTAGTTTCATGCCCTTGCCGAATTGCGGATGGGGGCGGGGAGATGGCTCTGTGAGACGGTGTGGGAGGGCATGATGAAGCTGGAGGTGTTTGTCATTTTTAACTTCTTAAAGCAAAGAGTTCTGAGTAGAAGAAAAAAAAGAAAAGATGCCAAAACCGGTTTGGCTCAGTGGATAGAGTGTCGGCCTGCAGACTGAAAGGTCTCAGGTTCGATTCCGGTCAAGGGCATGTACCTTGGTTGCGGGCACATCCCCAGCAGGGGGTGTGCAAGAGGCAGCTGATGGATGATTCTCTCTCGTCCATGTTTTTAACTCTCTATCTCTCTTCCTCTCTGTGAAAAATCAATTTATATATATATATGAAAAAAAGAAAAGAAAAACTAAAGATGAGCCTAATGTGTTCACAGGGAGAAAGCACCATAAAGGACATAGACTTGTGCCAGGTTCTATGGCTGAACCTACTTAGCTGGCAGGTCACACGCCACAATTGATCTGCCCTCTGAACATGCTCACGTTCACAACACATTCGAGATATAAACCTATCCTGGAGCACGAACCCTTCCTTCCAAAACGCCATGATCGGGTGGGATGAATAGACAGGTACCATTTTTGTTTTCGCCACCTACATTCACCTGGTCTTGTCTCCGTGAGTTTAGAAGAAGGAGAATCACTCTAGACAAAGGAGATTTGTTACAGCCTGGCCTGAAACAAAAATACAATTTAAATAGAAAAGACCTTGGGAAACATAAGTAGCACTTTGGGGCAAAGCTGCAAAGGCACTCTTATTACACAAGTGATTCAGGAGAGAGACTAAATTTGCTACCTTCCTGTTTCTGGAGGGGGTTCCAGATTTTTGCAACCTTGGGATGCTGAGTTTGGGGAAGCTTACGGAGGAAATTAACTGGGAAGTTGGAAATCTAGGCAGTTGTCCAGCAGTCTGGGGGGCGGGGGTGGATTTTGTTGCTCCTGTAGCTGGGATCTTGCAGAACCATATTAATGCATGAAGGCTGAAAAATACCTGACAGTGCATAGTTTAGAAGCAAAACAACATTCTCCCTACCCCCAGCCACCAACACGATGCCTGTCGGCGATCTCATGAGTAGCAGAATCCTAACACGTGGGCCTGCCGTTCACTTGCATTCACTTCGAACTCCTTTTAGACAGTGAAAAGTTGAGTGACAAGATCGGGAAAGTAACTCGGCCCTTCTGTGGGACTGGCAAGGGAAGGGGCCGCCAGAATCTCCCAGTCCTTTCTTGAGGAACTCCGTGCCAAATATGGCTTCTTCCAGCCAGAGACCAGATTTCTGGCTTCCCGCCAATCCTCCCAGGCAATTGGAAAGCACAGCTCAAGAGCAGAGATAGCAACAAGAACTGCCTTTGACCCCCTGGCTCCTGCTCCTCTGGGTGTGACACCTTTCCCCTTCCCCCCGTCAGCAGGTACTATCGTTCCTATCGGCAAGAGCTCCCAGAGCAGTGTGGTGAGGGGCGTCAGGGTCTTGGGAATGGGGGTGGGGCGGATGCCAAGAAGGTGCCTTGTTTTGGGATAAATGCACTTGGGCCTCTGGAAAGCAGGCGGCCCCTGGTCCCTGAGAGGATGTTAAAAAATTAAATAGTAAGAATAAATAAATAGCTCCCAAATGTCACACGTCAAGGAATGAAGGCTCCTGCCCGATTGGGTTAGACCTCCTCCTCCCAGGGAAGGATCCAGAAATCTCCAGCGTGCAGGGCTGGGGGGCTGGGCGGTGGCTATCAGCGCTGGACTAGGTGGGGTGGGGTCAGGTGGCAGCTGCCAAGGTCAGGACTGAGACAAGCAGGAAACTTGCGCCAAGGAGGGGCAGGCTGGGCCTGGGCTAAGCTCCCTGGGTCTCTAGGGCCCAAAGGTATTTGGCAAGAAGGGGGAAACAGAAGAGCCCAGGCTTATCTAAATGCCCTCAGGCCTAGCCCTGCAGCTTCCCTCTTCACAGTTCCCTCCCCTCCAGCAGGCTCAGAGCTTTCCCCAAGCATCTGAGAAAACTTTGCAGCCCGAGGAGGCTGCCAGCAAGCAGCAGAGGGAGAGGCCTCAGTGAGGACAGGGGCGCTGGAGCAGCTCAGGCCCAGACACGGTGTGTGCAGGGGTGAGCTCCCTTTTTGCAGGGCTGAGGGGAGGTCCTCTGGAGCGGAGGGGTAATGCTACGTCGGGGGCAAACTTGTGCTTGGCTCTCCGGGAGCTGGGGAAGAGGAAGGAGAGACTGCGCAGCAGCAGGGGTCCCAGGGTGAGAAGCACCGGTGGCCGAGGCTGGAGCTGCTCCCAGAGGGCGGCCCCAGCAAGCAGGGGCGCTCCTGGTTCCAGGAAAAGGTGAGGACGACTTCCGACAGACCGAGTGCACAGAGAACTGGATCCTGCAGCCCTGAACACTGCTCCCGGGGCCTTTATAAATAAAAGAGCTGTTTATTGTATTGTCTTGTTTGTTTTTCCGGAGAAAAGTCCACGGGATGGCTCCTCTGTCCCTCGGTGAGTCCCTGGGCGCCTGCAGGCGCTTTGACGAGGCTGGTGCAGGGAGAGGGGCTGGTGCAGGAGAGCCGGGCGGGCGCCCAGGCAGAGGGGCCGGTCCCGGGCCTCCGGCGGCCTGGGGCCTCAGCCCCTCTCCCCGGCGCTTTCCGTCTGGTGGGGGGAGGCGGCGGCCTCGGCCGCGGCGGCCGCAGCCTCTTTCTCCCGCTGCCTCAGGGCTGCAGCCTTCTTCTCCTGCTCCGCATGGCTCTTCATGTGGGCGCTGCGGCTCTTCACCTTGTAGAACACCCTGCAGCCGGGAAGAGGGGCTCGAGTGAGAGATCTGTGCCCACCCCCTGGGCCACCAGGCTAAAGAGTGTGTGTGTGTGAGTGTGTGTGTGTGTGTGTGTGTGTGTGTGTTCCCGACTCTTCCTGACTGGGCGAATGCCTCTGGGCCTACCCCCACCCTCCAACTAATGCAGAGATGAGCTCCTAATTCAGTGCCACCCTCCCTCTTCTGCTGAGTGACATCACTGCCCTAGAAACCCTCCGAGCCAATCAGAAGGCAAGGCGAAAGCTCAGACTACCTCCTCCTCCTCCTCCTGCCCGCTCACAACCATCACCATCCGCCTACCAGCCACCCACACCCTCCCTCCTCCGTCCCCATGGAGACACGTCTTACCTGCCACATTTCTTACACGGGAACGTGTTCTCCTGATTCTGGGTTTTATTAAATGCCTCCGCTTTTTTCTTCTTCTCTGGGAAAGGCAGTGTCCTCCGTGGCTTCCCGGGCCCCTCCCTCGGCTTCTCCGAGGCCTGGCCGCCGGCAGACTCGGGGGCGTTGGGCTCATGGCTTCGGAGGATGAGGATGTCATTGGCCTGGAGAGGATCAAACAAGGAGGCGTTGAGGGGTCTGGGGAAGACAGGATCCCAAATTCCGGAGTTTTAGGGAACAGAGGACTCCTACAGGCTGACACTCCTGCCCTGGCATTCTCTGGAATCCTTCCGGTGACAAAGCACTCACTGCCTTTTCAGCAACCCATGCCATCTCTGGCCAGCTCTGTCTTTACCAAGTTGCTGGTATGGTAATGGTGGTGCAGCCCTGGCTGTGGATGTATCTGACGGGATGTGGTGTCGCAATGAATGACACCGCATGTTTGAGTGAAATTCGAAGGTGCTGGGGATGCAGAGGTGACAGACGGAGCCCCTCCTCGGAGAGCGGAGTCCAGTGCCGGGGGAGATGGGCAGGCATCTGGCGCATGACACCACGAGCCGCCATGGCCAAGGCCAGGCAGGTGCAGAGGACACCGGTGCTGACCTGGAGAGGGGTGCTCAGGGCATGCCCTCAGGGCCAGGGGAGCCCCAGATGGCCATCAGAAGTGTATGCACTGGGTCGACCCTACAGGAAAATGCTGACAAGTCAGCAGAACTCCCTTGAGCCGGTACACAGGGCACAGCTCTGGGAGGAGCACAGCCAAAGCTCAAAAGAAAACAAACAACCAGGACTGGTTTGGCTCAGTGGATAGAGCGTCTGCCTGTAGACTGAAAGGTCCCAGGTTCGATTCTGGTCAAGGGCATGTACCTGGGTTGCAGGCACATCCCCAGTGGGGAGCGTGCAGGAGGCAGCTGATCGATGTTTCTCTCACATTGATGTTTCTAACTGTCTATCCATCTCCCTTCCTCTCTAAAAAATATAATATGTATAAAAAAGGAAACCAACAGCTGAGTGTCTACAGTTTGTGGGGGGCTTTCCTGCAAGCATAAGTGTACAACACCAAAATAAAAAACTCAGAGTAGTTCCCCCAACAGGCTCTTCCCATCCCTGCCCTCTCCCGGGGACCCTTCCCTGGACTCCAGCTCTGGCTGGCAGGCTTTGCCTCCCGACCTGTGATGTGGCTGGAAGAGCACTGCAGTAGGATCTGGGGTGGAGCCTCAGGCAAGTCACTGAGTGCCTCTGAGCCCCGTTTCCTCCCTCTGCCGAGTGAGGGCTCTGTGGGGTTCTTGTGCGGAATTAATGAGATCTCGGACAGGACAGCCCTTTGCAGAGAACATGGCCGAGGGGCCATGATCATCACGCCTGTGAGCTCAGCTCAGCTCAGCTTCAGACATTCTTGTCAGGGACACGGCTCTCTTAGGGGAGCCCTGCCTGAGCTACACTTCTCGAATGCTTCCCCCATGTCCCATATACCTTCCAGTCCCCAAGTCTCAGAGACAAGAGGCAGAGTGTAAAATGTAATGGCAGTCTCTGGAGCCAGGCTGCCTACCAGCTATCTGATCGTGGGCCTCGACTTCCTCATCTGTGAAATGGGAATAACGGCAGTACCTATGCCATAGGGTTAGGAGGATTCAATGACTCAGCAGCATCAGGCACTGCATACATTTCCTGCTATCGTGATGACGATGATGACGACCCGGTCCTAGTCACGTTCCTGCTCTGCCTTCCGGCCCACCCTCTCGGGCCCAGCTCCAGCCCTTCTCCTGGCCCTGGGCTCCCCCAGGGGAGGTCACACTTACCGCCTCATTGGCCTGTAGTGTCTGTGTGGCTTTGACAGCCGCGGCCCGCCGGCTTCTCTCTCGCCCCTCTTCCTGCTCCCCCTTCTCTTGGATCTCGGGCACCTCCTCCTCCCCCTCCTTCCCGGGCTCCTTTCCTTCCCTCCGGGGCTCCAGCCTCTCTTCACTGGGGGGCTCTCTTCTGGGAGCAGGCACCCTGGGGAACTTCTGGGAAGTCTATGGGGGACAAGAACAGGGGCAGGGACCCCAGAGTCAGTCACGCAGCCACAGCGCACGGATTTGGACCCAGCCAGGGCCCACTCGTCCCTGCTCGCCCCGGCCTGGCCTCCTGTGCCGACTCTACACCCTCCCTCCCCTCGTCTGCCTGGCAAAGTAGAGCGAGCCTGGAGCCCTGGGAACCTGTGGGATGAGACGGAGCCCCTGGAATGGAGCCAGGGGCGGGGAGGGAGCTTGCGGGTCCTCCCCAGAGGCCACCGGTCTTCCTGGATGTGCTCAGAGACACATCCCTGGGCAGGGTGGTCTGGTGGAGCCAGGCAGCAACTCGAGCTCCATCCTCAACGACCTTGTATCGCTTTCTGTGGCTCCACTCCCTTCCCACCTGCAGAGAGGGGGCCGAACCACTCCCCAGCTTAGAGCAGCATGTCGCCAAGTGTGGGCTTGGAGCCCCAGAAACGGCTTTCGGTGGATACACGGAAACAGAATGCACATTCTCTTTTCAATTCCCTTCCAATCCTGATTATGTTAAGGAGCAGTCTCCAGCTCATGTTAATGTGTCTTTTGTACTTTTCCAGGCCTCAGTTTCAGAGCCTCGGCAGATGACACTATCTAGCTAGAATGTAACAATAGTGTTTGACTTTCATACCCTATATTTATTTTTACTAGAACCGTCTATGCCAAGCAGGACTTGTTTCTGATGTATGATTGTAATACAAAACTTCCCTTTGGAGTAAAATTGAGTTGATTTAAAAACATGAACAGCACAAGTGGTATGTGGAGATGTCAGAAATAGCAATGGTAACATATGGCAGGATGCAGGAATGGCGGAAACTCATACAGGTGATAGGAGAACGGCTAATGTGTTAGAGGCCTGCCATGAGGGAACAACACAACGATGCTGGTGCAAACACTGTGGGAAATTTCCCCCGGGTACTATATCCACACAAGGTCTGATTATTACGTCACTGGCCAACAGAGAGGGGGTCCCCAAGGCCCAGGGCCAGTGCCCAGCCCAGGACGCCAACAACGTGGGGTTACCAGGGGCACAGCCTTCCTCTCTCTGCCCTCCAGGGGCTCCTGGAGGCCTTGCCTTGGACCCAGCCCCAGCCCAGGCGCTCGGCAGCTGAGGATGGGAAGGGAATCACCTTAATGTCCACCTCCACCTCGTCCTGGACTGACTTGTCGTCACCCGCGTCGTCGCCGAAGGTGAGCGTCCCGTTGCGGCCGATCTTCGCCTGCTTCTTGTAGGTGTAGTAGAACTCCACACACTGGGCCACCGTCTTGGTCTGGATCTGGTTTGAAACGAGAGTGAGGTCAGCGTTCCCGGCTCAGCCCACCTGGCTGGGGAGACGCCGCCAGCCTCCCCCGTGTCTCCCCTTAAACGCAGCCAACACTAAGCTCAACCAGCCCCCCAAGTATGAGCGCGTCTCTAACGCCTGCTCTGACAAACCACGGGCCAACTCAACTAACGCGAGCTTCAGCACTTCGCCTTTGCTAAAAAGCTAAGAGGTGCAACATGGAGCCACTGGGGAGACTTGAATGTGGATCGCAGAGTAGAGCGTGTTATTTACCAGTGTACGTTTCTTTGATGATAATGCTACTGTGGTTTTACGGGAGAATGTCTTTGTTTTTAGTTAGCATTTGGGTCCGATGTCATGATGTCTGTAACTTACTTTTAATTATTAATTAAAACACAGAGAGAGAACAGGTGCTTAAGTTTATATAGAGACAGAAAGAAAGCAAATGTGGCAAATGTTAACAACTGGCATATCTAAGTAAGGGGTATGTAGGTGTTCATTATACTATTCTTTCAATTTTCCTCTAGGTCTGAACCTTTTCAAAATAAAAAGTTAAAGGGGGAAAAAATCTGCCCCTGGCACGTGTGGCTCAGCTTGTCGGAGTGTCCTTTCATACATCAAAAGGTGGCGGGTTCCATTCCCAGTCAGGGCACATACCCAGGTTGCAGGTCCAATTCCTAGTTGGGTCGTGTGCAGGAGATACCCGATCAATATATCTCTCTACATCGATATGTCTCTCTCTCTAGCCCCACCCTCACCCCCTCCTTCCTCTTAAGATTTTTAAAATATATATATTTTTATTGATTTTTTACAGAAAGGAAGAGGGAGGGATAGAGAGTTAGAAACATCGATGAGAGAATCATTGATCAGCTGCCTCTTGCACACCCTCTACTGGGGATGTGCCCGCAACCAAGGTACATGCCCTTGACCGGAATCGAACCTGGGATCTTTCAGTCTGCAGGCCGACGCTCTATCCATTGAGTTCGGCAGATTTTTTATTTATTTATTAAAGATTCATTAAAGAAAAAAGTCTGGGCACCCTTCCTATTCAAAGCCAGGATAGACCTTGCAACATAAACTCTCTTCACCCGTGTGGACAAACGATTCCATTCCTCTCCAGGGAGCAGCCGCCGATAAGCAGGACAGAGGGATGTCAAATTGCCAAGATAGGCTAATAAGCCCGAGAAACCTGAAAGGATTCCCAAATCTTGTTCCTGATTCTGCCACTGAATAGCTGGTGGCCTTAGACAAGTCTTTTCAAGTGTGAATAGCGAATGGCGTGAGACCAGGCGATCTCCAAGGGCCCCCCACGCCCTGCAGTCCTAGCCCTCCCGTTACACAAATCCATTTGGCCACTGCGTTTAGTTTCCGGGCTACTTCCCCCCACACACAGAACACAGAGGCTGTCTTCCCTGCTCAGCCAACTTCTGGGCGGCACGGAGGCCCTAGGCACGGAGCCCAAGGAGTCAGAGAGGGTCCTCTGGGCCCGAGGAGAAACAGACACGCTCCAGCTCACAGGAAGGGCCAAATCCCAACTTCATTAATGAGATCCCGTTTGCACGTTTACTGCCAGTTCTGTCTGATCGTCTTGTCTGATTACTGGCCTGTGCTTTTCATTAAGGCATTAGGGGCTCCTGGAAGTTTTGCCCAATCAGGAAGCCGGCGGATGTCCGCCCTCACAACAGGGCCCTTGTAGGAGAATGCATCAGCACTTTGTCCAGTTCCCAGAGCCACCCGTGGCCCCATCTACCTCCCCCCCCCCCCCAGAGGAAAGCACGTTCTTGGAAGCCCTTTCCCCTCAGCGGTGCGCACCACGCACTCCCCCACAGCCCAGACTGTGCCAGACGGGGCTGGTGGGAAGAATGCAAGGCTGCAAATTAGCAAAGCACTTTAGTCCCCCAGAAGAACATAGGGGGAGGACAAGATAAACCTAGGACAAGGAGGCTCTGGCCTCCTCTAGCCGGCCAGCTGAGTTACTGGAAAGACGCCCTGGGTCTGACAAGATGCGGGCAGAAGCCCCCACCCAGTTCAGATAGTCACTGGCTGCTCTCAGTTCCTCTTATCGCAGGGTGGCCTCTCCTCCCACACACTAATTGTGGCCTCAGTGGGAGTGCTCCCGCCCTAGGGAACGGCTCCCCTCGGCTGCAGCCCCTCCTCTTCTGGCTCTCCCCTGGGTGACCACTAACTTAAGTCGTTGTGGGCTTTTGTTTTGTTTTTGTTAATCCTCACTTGAGGATCTTTTTCCATTGATTTTAAAATATATATATATATATATTTTATTGATTTTTTTTTTACAGAGAGAACGGGAGAGGGATAGAGAGCTAGAAACATCGATGAGAGAGAAACACCGACCAACTGCCTCCTGCACACCTCCTACAGGGGATGTGCCCGCAACTAAGGTACATGCCCTTGACCAGAATCGAACCTGGGACCCTTGAGTCCGAAGGCCGATGCTATATCCACTGAACCAAACTGGTTTCAGCTTTTCCATTGATTTTTTAGAGAGAGTGGAAGGGAGAGGGAGAGACAGAGAGAAACACTGATGTAAGAGAGAAACATTGATTGGTTGCCTCCTGCACACACCCCAACCAGAGCCAGGGAACCGGAAACCAAGAATCAAACCCAGGGCCCTTCAGTCCACAGGCTGATGCTCTAGCCACTGAGCCAAACCGCCTAGGTTTTGTTTTGTTTTTAAAATACGTTTTTATTGATTTCAGAGAGGAAGGGTGAGAGAGGTTAGGAACATCAATGATGAGATAAAATCACTGATTGGCCACCTCCTGCAACCCCCTCTCCCCCCCACTGGGGATCTAGTCTACAACCCGGGCATGTGCCCTGACTGGGAATTGAACCAAGACCTCCTGGTTCATAGTCGACATTCAACTACTGAGCCACGCCAGCCAGGCACCACTATTTCAAGTTTGATGCCACTGAGTCTGATACCCACTCAGGCCTCTCTCTGGATTAAGAACCAGGGAGTGGCCACACCATCCAAGGGGAGGGGAGGAGCTTAGAAGGAAGGGGTGGGGCCTGCTTGTTTTGTTTACAACATCCTCTGAGGCTACTTAGTGCATTGAGTTAAGTGCTTCTAAAGGGGGCTTGGTAAGCGACTGCAGGCCCCCACTGTAGGGGGACCCCAAATCCTGCACGCAGTTCCTGCCCTCACTTTCCCCTGAAACAGAGCTCCAGCTCACCAGCTTCTGCACCAGGAAGAAATCCTTCTTGTAGATGGCAATGCCCTTGTTGAACAGCTTCCTCTCCGACATCTTCCACTGGTCTGAGCCTGCGGGGCAGACAGGCAGCCGGGGTGGTGAGGTGGGTGGGACTGTGAGCATCACAGGAGGGAGGGGGGTCGATTCTGACCAGCAGCAGACAAGAGTGCGACGCATCCAGTCAGAGCTGGCTCCGCACGCTGCTTCTGCCACGTACTAGCCCTGCCTCTCGACCCTGAGCCTCACTCTCCTCACTTGTGAAGTGGGGGACTCACAATAGAAGCCACCTCCACCGCTGTGCAGACTACATGAGATCATACGTGTGAAACCCTGGTGCCCAGCCTGGCCCAGACTACATGGACCACTGCACAGGGGCCGGTGACAGCAGCTGCTATGACGATGCCCAGGTCAATGTCCCTCTTACAGCACAGGGTCCAGGACGGGACATGGCACTCCAGGGGCTGTCTAAGGTCCAGGTACCCGATGCCAGTGTGGATGGCACTCCCTGGACCCCTGTCCCTTGTCCTGAGTCCTAGGCTTCCTTGCCTGGACGGCTCCCACCTGCCCACGCCCTCCCGTCTCCCTCTCCAGGGCACGGTAAGCTGCTTGAGAGTCACCCCAGCTTTGGTGCCAGTGCTTTGGCTCTTTGCTTACCCACCCCCCTATCTCCCCACCCAGGGCTGCGGCGACTCAGCACTAACCAGGCCCCCCTGACGGGAGACCCTTCGCGGCTCTGGACCCACCCCCGCCAGGCCCACCTGTGTAGTGATACGTTGCCAGTGGGTGGTTGTGGGGCCGCAGGGGCTTCTTCAGTAGCAGCTTATTCAGCGTTTCCTTAAAGGGGAGTGGAGAGAAGTCAGGGCCCGGGCAGGGTTTCAGTGGGAAAATCTTAGAGGGTCTCCTCAGGCCATCACAGGTGCAGAGGGCCCTCAGTGCAGCCCTGAGCCGGGACCCAGCAGCCCAGAACCGGGGCCTGGGGTGGACGGCACCATCCTGCACTGCGAAGTCTAGAACCAGGGTTTCCTTGGGCTGAGCCCCTTCTTATACCCCCATCTTGGTTGGACCCTCCAGCCTGTTTCAGATCAGCACGTGAGCAGGCCTGGCTCCTGGGCAGCAGAGATGGATCCAGGCCGGCCTCCCCGAGGGCCCTTCCCTCCGCTGGGGGCGGTGTCTCACCAGGATGTCTCCCCTGGACTCATGCAGGCAGTGCAGGGCCAGCTCCTGGTTGGTGCCAGCTCCAGGGAAAATGCTGGAGCAGGCGGCTGTCAGCAGGTCTTCCACTGCATTGTGGGAGGGAGGGGGGAGGGAGGAGAGGAAATCACTCTCGGGGCGGGGCTAGGACGAGCCAGCCCACCCACCTCCCCAGGACCGCCTTTGCTTGGCGGGCTCCAGTCCCCTCTCACCTTGCCTCTGCTTCTCCCGGCTGCTCTCCAGCTCCTCCCACGGCTGCCACACCAGGTCGGCCTTGTGGGGGTCTGCGGCGGCCAGGGCACGGTCCCTCATGGAGGGGATTTCAGCTTGGAACCGGGAGCCTACGTTGATCCGTCTGCAGAGGTGGGGAGGGCAGAGAGTGAGGCCTACCTTTGCTGGGGTGGGGTGAGGTGCGGGTGGGGGAGGGCAGGCGGCAGAATCTGACTTTCTCCCTGGGGGATGGAAGAAGACGCAGAGGGCAGCTGACAGAGGCTGAGCATGGCAAGGCCTCAGCTGGGCACAGGGGAATCTGGCTTCTGTGAGGACACCTGGCCATCGGCACCAAGTGCTGCCAGAAAGGCCAGGCCCAGGTGTGGGGCAGGGAAGGAGGAGCTCCAGGCTCACAGGCGGGGAAGGAGCCTCTCATTCGCAGAGGCAAATGCAAACCGAACCCGTCCCTTCCTTTCCCTGCTCCTTCCACATGGACGTGGGGCGAGGGGGAGGACGCCCGGAGCGGCCGCTCAGCCCTCTGCAGAGCCCTCTGCTCCTCCGCGGGCCTGCCTGCACGCCTGGACCCCACTCAGCCACCCTCACACCACGGCCCAGGGGCAGGGCTGCACTTACGGCTCGATGCTCACAGGGGTGGCTTCCCCCATCACCGAGAGGACAGGTGGGGTGACTTCAGCACTATCTACGGGACAAAAGGCAGGTTGGCAGGCCGTACCCTCCTCCCTCCGGCAAAGCCCTCCCGCCCCGGCCTTAGGTGGCTGCTCGCCAGCACCAGAGTTCACACGTGGAAATCGGGCAGCCTGAGCCTTGGCTCCAGGCCTGCCGTGGTGACACCTCACTGTAACTTTACTGAATGCGTGGGCGCCCCCACTTTTTGCTCCCACTGAGAGGGGCTCCTAGGGTTAACCTTGTGAGGAGTGAATGAAATCACGCACGAGACCCAGCCCCGGGAGCTCCCACACGCCAGGTTAACTCCAACATGAAGCTAGCAAAGAGGCAGAAACTCTGCTCCCCGGTGAGGTGGCGAAGGAGATCGCTGCTGCATGATTACGTTCTCCCTTCCCGGCTGGGTTCCCAGCCTCAGTTTCTCCTGAGCTAATCTCTTCATGCCTCACAGGATCAAGAGACACGCCCTCGCTGCAGCAACAAACGCTCCGCTGACTCCTCTCTGCAGCCTCTCCTGCAGCGTGAGGTAAAGCCTGCAGCTCCTCACCGTCCCCCTCCATCCCGGCCGCCCACCGGCCTCTCGCCTGGACCCTGGCTCCCAGCAGGCCGGGCACACGTGGCCCGGCACGTTCCCTGCACAGTCTTACCTCCATGTCTTTGTCACACTCATTTCCTCCGCCGGGCGCTCCCCGCCCCTCCGTAGCTCAGGCTCGGTCCCAGCCCCACCCTCTCTGGCTTTCCTCCCTACCCCAGGCTAGCAGCCTCTGCAGGCTTTGGAGCTCAGGGTCTGCTTCTCCCGCTGCCTGCTGATGCCACACCGCAAGGAACCTCAGCTTTCCTGTCTCCCAGGCCTCCGCGTCAACTCTCCCACGACCCCGTACTTTCCTTAAAACAGACCGCGGGGTCCCCATCTATCGCTGAAGCCCTCACAGGAACCGATGCGAGGCTTTCCACCCAAGTTCTTGATAAATGTCCATGCATGGACAGACCTTTTCTTTGCGACTAATCTCGCCCCTACAGTGACCTCTTCCCGCACAACCCGGGCAGGGAGAGAAGCTTTGAATCGTGGCGTGGCAGTGTGAGGGCAGAAGGCCGGCCAGCCAGCCAGCCCAGGTGAGCCGTTTCTCACTCGCGGACACGAGGGGGCGCCAGAGAGCTAAGCCGTGGGTGAGGTCAGGCTTCGGAGGTTGATCTGGTGATGGCACCGCCTCACCCCTGTGCAGGTCTGGTAGTGTTTACTCCAGAGGAATCCTCTCCCCACCCCAAGCGATAGCATTATCACATTCTTCTGGGGAGAATCACATTCTTTTTTGTGTGGAGAGGGCAATTTTTTTCAACAATTCAAACCCGCGCGAGCCAGAACGTCTGCTCTTTCTTGGCCAAAGTGACTGAGGAGAAAGGATCTGCCACGTGATACTGAGAACACACACGACGCAACCAGGCATGAAATCGCGTGCTGTACCTCTGTGAATGCATCTGAGCCACACCACAACCCTAGGAGGTAGCTATTAGGCCGCAGCGCAGAAAACTACCATACGTGGGTCTGAAAACAGCTGAATGTTGGCAATTTCATCCTCAACCAAGCACGACTAATATTCTCACCTAAACATTGAAGCAGCCGATGCCCGGGCCGTTTAAACGACGCGCACAGGGGACGTAACAGCAAATGGTGCCACTGGGATTTGAACCCAGGCAGCTGGGCTGACACCCCTCCTCCGCCCACACGTATTCTTGAACCAGGACGACTTCCTTCTCTTTCTCAGAGATGAGAGAGTGGAGCCCCTTTTCTTGCAGCATGCCAACCCAACAACCCCTGGCAGCCCCACAAAACGAGTCTCATCCCCACCCCACCCCACCCCCGCCTTCCCTCTCCCCCCGGCCCCCGAGGCCAGGGCTACTCACTGGACCGGAGCAGCGTGCGGTGGGCACTCTTTGGCGTGATGGGAGGCGGGGCCGGGATGCTGCTCGTGGACATGATGGCGTTGAAGTAGAGGCCGGAGCCCTCCCGCACGGGGCTGAGGATGGGGGGCGGCGTGTAGGGCGGCAGCTCGAAGCTGCGCTCGGCGGGGTGGTCGGCCAGGCGGACGGGAGAGCGCAGGTGGCTCTGGTACGGGGTGATGTTGGAGTAGACGGGAGGGGCGATGAACGTGCCCGCCTTGGTGGGGATGATCAGGGGCTCGGGCCGCGGCCGCTGCTTGGGTTTCCGCACCGAAGGCTCCCCCTCCAGCTTGACGTTCATGTCTTCGGCCTGGAGAAGGAAAGAGAACCAAGGCGGCTCAGCCTCCCACGTCCTGGGGGTCCCGGCGTCTGGACCACGGCGCGCTGGCCTCCCCTTTGAAACTCAGTCTGCCCACCGCACCCATCCGGGCAAGCCCGAGACGGGTGGCAGGTCCCGGCAAACTGTTTCTGTCGGGGGCCAAACCGTCGATTTAGGCTCTGTGGACCACAGGTCGTCTCTGTTATAGAGGCTTCTACTCCCCTGTCCCCACACCTCCATTTTCAAAAAGGATCCCTTAAAGATATTAAAGACAGTTCTCACATCTGAGTGTGGGCACAGCCCGCAGTTCCCGCTGCGAAGTATGCTACGGGGAGAGGACGATAGAGGAGGGCCCAGGCCCTGGGGCTGGATCGCTTGGCTTGAGATCCACCTCCCTTCCCTGCCACTTACATGATGTAACTCTGTGTATCATCGTTTTTATTTTTATTCATTTATTTTTAAATATACTTTATTGATTTTTTTACAGAGAGGAAGGGAGAGAGATAGAGAGCTAGAAACGTCAATGAGAGAGAAACATTGACCAGCTGCCTCCTGCACCCCCCCACCACCAGGGATGTGCCCGCAACCAACGTACATGCCCCTTGACCGGAATCGAACCTGGGACCTTTCAGTCCGCAGACCGACGCTCTACCACGAAGCCAAATCGGTTTCGGCTGTATCATCATTTTTAACGTGGGTACATTAAGTGTAAGGTGACCAGACGTCCTGATTTTTAACTATTTGTCCCTTGTCCCACGGCGTTTTAAATCGGGACTTTTTTAAAATGCTGCGGGATGAGGGACAAATTGTTAAAAATCGGGACTGTCCCCCCAGAAGCAGGACGTCTGGTCACCTGAATTAAGTACCTACTTAATGGCGTAGCTATGAGGACTAAATGAATGAATACTGGAAATCACTGATAACAGTACCTGGTAATAGTGATTACTCAGTAAACATTGGCTGCTATCACCACGCAAACTCTAGGCATCAACGGAAGTCCCCCTCCCCCATGCGACAAGACCGGAACTGGGCATGGGACCCATGTTTGACAAAATTAATAGGAGAATCCTGTCCTTGAATAATTTCCGCCCCCCCCATTGATTTTTTTTTAGAGACAGAGTGGAAGGGAGGGAGGGACGAGGAAGGAGAGAAACATCGATGTGAGAGAGATACACTGACTGGTTGCTTCCCACACACACACACACACACACACCCTGACCAGGGTCAGGGATCGAACTTGCAACTCAGGTACATGCCCTTGACCGGGAATTGAATGCGTGATGTACTTCAAATACAAACCGAAGAATTTATAGCTGCAACAATATGATGTTGGGGATTTGCTTCTAAATATCCAGCAGCAGGGAGACGTGGAGGTGCAAATGAAAAAAGATCGACTAGATTCTGATGGCTACATATTGGGGTTGATTATAATAGCATTCTCCGTATTTCTGTGCAAGACTGGAAAAGTCTGTACTACCAAGAAAAAAATAACTCAATTAACCACATTTAAACCTCCCCCAAGACCTTGGAAATACTCATGGACAGAGTCTTAGGAGATTCACATTCCAGGGCCAGTTCTTTACTGAGTGACCTGAGGTACGCCTCCTGCCTTTCCCGGATCTGTTTCCTCCTCGTTAGAATGAGTGTGCTGAGCTGTGCAGTTGCTCAGGCTCCTTTCTGCCCTTCCTCAGGACAAGCTTCCCAAGCCTCGGGGCTCCACCACAAATTTCCCACCAACCAGAGACGGAGACTCCAGAGAGCAGAGGCTGTGCCGCGCATGTTAACCTCGGAGCTCCCCCTTCTGCTCTGAAGGACAGGCATTGAGGCTGGTTGTCCAGCTGAGAATAACGGGAAAAAAAATCTGGACTCACTATAGAAACCGCATTTCTGAAGGTTATCAGAGAGCAAATGAGTTGGCAAAGAATTAAAAAGCCAAGATCCAGGAACAGAAGGAAAGCCAAAGAGGTGAACCAGCCTTTGGAGGTGTGTTTCCCCCGAGTGGATGCTGTGACTGGAAGAGGCGACAGAGAGGCCAGGAACCCGAGTAGACAGACCTTTGAGTAAACCTGACGTTTGGGGCTTGTCCAGGAAGCAGAGCCTGGCAGACTCCCTGGCTGTGGCCTGGAGTGCCAATGGGCTATCTCCTTAGAATAAAGGCGAATAAATACTTCTGAGTAGACTAGTCCTCACATGGAATAAGGCCCAGCTTCAACTCCTCTCATCTCTGTCACCATTTAATTTCTGGTTAAGTTAAAGGAATCCGGGGTAGCTGTTGCTTTTTGCTACCTGTCAGAGGCAGCGACAAATTCTCTCTGGAAGGGAACTTCATCCAGAGCCTTCAATGACCTCCATACGTCTCTGCATATAATATCTGACTTTCAACAAAAACAACCGAACATACAAGAAAGCAAGATGGGATTTAAACGCAAGAAGTAACAGATGACAGAAACAGACCTATGAGGATGCCATTAATGAAGTTGTCAGAAATAAACTTTAACAAAACTATGCAATAAGATAGAAGGCAAAGTTGAGAATTCCAACAAAGAACTAGACACTCTAAAAATTAACCAAATGGAAATTTGGTAACGGAAATACTAATAAAAAATAACTCAATGAATGGGCTTAACAACACATTAAATCCAGCTAAATTTAAGTGGTAAATTGAAAGATAGGTCAGACTAAAAAAAAAGAAAAATATAGAAAAAAGTACATGACAGCCCTGACTGGTTTGGCTCAGTGGATAGAGCGTTGGACTGTGGACTGAAAGGTCCCAGGTTTGATTCAGGGCATGTACCTTGGTTGTGGGCATATCCCCAGTACAGGGTGTGCAGGAGGCGGCTGATCAATGCTTCTCTTTCATTGGTGTTTCTAACCCTCTATCCCTCTCCCTTCCTTTCTATAAACAAATCAATAATATATATATATATTTTTTATTTTTTTATTTTTAAGAAGTATAAAACATAGACCATCAGAACGAAAAGGAGAAATGGACAAAACCTCATCTTCAGTAGATTTCAACATGCATGTTTGCACTGACAGAACAAGCAAACCTCTACCTCCCAGTGCCTAGCCCAGGGCCTGACCCATATGATAGGTAGGCCCTGTCAAAATCTGATGGCCTGAAAGGAAAGGGATTCACACATACCGCATTTTCCTAGTCAGCCCCGTTTCAAACATAAAACTGTCTCACTGTCCCCCATAGCACGTCTGTCCAGTTTGCTTTGGAAAACAGAAATAGTATCCCCGCAGGCTGCTGGAACGGCTCCTTCAGCCACACCGTCCTTTCCCCAGAGGGTCCCGGGTCCCCGGAGCACTCGGGTCCCGGAGGTTTCTGCAGGGGGAGTCTGTCCTACCTGAGCCGGGGCGTCGGTGCCGGGGACCCGGGTGGACCGCCGGCGGGTGACGATGACGGACGCCTTGTGTTCCGCGGGGTTGTGCTCGGGGCCCCTCCCGTCCTCGTCCGCGCCCCCGGCCTGGGCCGCCTCGGCGGGGTCCGCGGTCCGCACCGGCACGGACACGGGGATGATGAGGGGCACCATCCCGCTGTCCTCTCGGGCTCGCTTGGCAGCTAAGGACGGCTCGGAAAACTCCACCCCGAACTTGGTGGTGGAAGCCAGCACGCTCTTCCGCTTCTCCTCCGAGCCGTTGGCATCCTGCAGAGGGAGGGAGGGGAATGGAGGGGAGGTTCAGAGGTAAAGTTCCAGGTTTGCTGGTGCAGGACTCCTAGTCCCATTGGACCCAGGGATTCACACACCTAGGATACGTCCCTGATCGCTTTTTCTCCCGCCACGTTCCCAAATATCCTCTATCACCTCCTCTCTGCCAGGTTCCCCATCCTAGCCTGGAGGAGGTCCCCAGATGGCCATCTCAGGCCACAGGTGCCTGGCAGATGTGCTTTGCCTGGCCTGCACAGTGAGTGCGTGGCCGGTGAAAATTTATCTAGCTATGTAAACGTAGCTCTGCAAAAGCAAGCAAGCAAGGAACTGGTGGCAGCTGAGGGTGGTCTTTGTATAGCTATTCCCCAGTGGCAGCTGGCTGGAGTGAAGTCAAATCCTACAGTCTTGCCCTAAACCGGTTTGGCTCAATGGATAGAGCATCGCCCTGTGGACTCAAGGGTCCCAGGTTCGATTACGGTCCGGTCAAGGGCATATATCTTGGTTGCGGGCACATCCCCAATAGAGAGTGTGCAGGAGGCAGCTGATCGATGTTTCTCTCTCATCGATGTTTCTACCTCCCTATCCCTCTCCCTTCCTCTCTGTAAAAAATCAATAAAATATATATATTTAAAAAATCCTACAGTCTTCTACCGATCAGCCTGGCCCTGCAGGCCCCGGGGGCTGAATCCTCAGGTAAAGGAAGGCGCAAACACTGGCTTTGCCGTCAGATGTTAGGCTTCCGTGTCGGCTTCATGACCTGGAAAATCCCATGTGGGGTTTCTTTAGCAAAAAGGCAGGATACGTCCCTATCACAGGATCTGTGACCAAGCGTAAGAAACGCCAAGTTCAAGGTGGGTGCTCGCGCTCTGTTCATGCTTTCCCCTACTGTTCCTGTCCTCTTTTACATCAGCTTTACGGCAGTGTCCCAGGCACAACGAAATGCAGCTATTTTTAATTACAGTCCGATGCACTTTGACAAGTAAGATCACCTTGCCGAAACCCGTTTGGCTCAGCGGTCTGCGGACTGAAAGGTCCCGGGTTCGATTCCGGTCAAGGGCATGTACATTGGTTGCGGGCACATCCCCGATAGGGGGTGTGCAAGAGGCAGCTGGTCGATGTTTCTCTCTCATTGACGTTTCTGGCTTTCTATCTCTCTCTCCTCCTCTCTGTAAAAACTCAATAAAAAAAATTTTTTTTAAAAAAGATCACCTGTATAAGGACTACTGCGTTCTTGTCTCTGAGCTGCTAAAACTCAGCACGCTGGGTCTGGAAACGAAGGTGCGGGGCACTTCCCGCCTGCAGCCCTGCACCTGTGTAACCCTCCCCTCCCTCCAGGTTCCGGGTGCCCCTGGGGAGCGGCTCTTTGCACACAGGGCGTTCAGAATCCCCTGACACGTAGAGGTCCTTTCATTTCCTTTCATGAAGTGAGACGAGGGCCCTGGTGGGCCTGGCGTCCTCGCTCCCCCGACACAGAGCTCACCCCACACCCTCTACTGGCCCGGCCCCCACCCCACGCGGCTCTCACCTTTGCGTTCTGCAGCGAGGCCAGCTCCACTGCCTTCTGGGCCAGGGTCAGCAGGTTGGCCTCCTGGGACGCCCGGCGCCGCCTCCTCGTGCTCTGGATCACTCCGCCCCGGAGCACCTGCCCGCAGTCCCCCGCGCCCGCGGCCCGCATGCCCTCCTCGCCGCCCACGGCGGGGGCCTCCCGCTCCCGCCCGTTGGGGGCCAGTCTCTCCCCATCGGACAGCAGCTGCGCCTCCCTCAGCTCCAGCGGGAAGCCCAGCGCTTCGGGATGGGGCTGCCCCAGGGGGCCGTGCGGCGGCGGCTGGTGCGGGGGCCAGTGATGATGCAGGAACAGGTTGGCGGCGGCGGCGGCGGCGGCGGCGGGCTCCTGCCCCGGCTGGGTCCCAGCCCCGTCCAGGGCGGCGGGCGGCAGGACGCCCTCCTTGGAGAGGCGGCGGGAGCGGCGGGGGAAGGCGATCTGGGCCTGAGGTAGCACGGCCTGCGGGGCGGACTCCTGCAGGAGGGCCTTGCGCAGCTCTGGGTTCAGGTCGGGGTTGGGGGGGAAGGCGTAGGGCACCATGCCGTGGTGGTGCGCCAGGTGGGGCTGCCCCAGCGGCCCCGCCGGCTGCAGGCCGAAGTCCTGGGGCTGCTGGGAGGGCGGCTGCTGCATGGGGTAAAAGTTCTCGAAGAGCGGCATCTGGGGCAGGCCTGCCTGTGGCGGCGGCGGCTGCTGCTGCTGCTGCTTCTGCAGCGGGTAGGCGGCCACGGGGTTGGCGGGCGGCGGGCCCTGCCGGAACACCTGCCGGTTCACCTGGTGGCCGAACGCCAGCTGGAAAGGCTGCAGGGGCAGCGCCTGGTTCGGGGGCTTCTTGGCCACGTGGAACGAGTTCAAGGGCGCCTGGGGCCGCCCCGCCTCCTGCTGCGCCTTCTGCGGCGGCATCGCGGGCCGCACGCCGTTCCCGTAGCGGTCCAGCTGGGCGCCCCCTCCTTTCTCCCGCTTCAGCGCGTCGGGGTGGCTGTAGTAGGCGGAGACCATGCCCGGGTGGGGGCTCCCCTTGTGCCCGCCGTAGACGGGCAGGCTGTGGCAGTTCCACGACGAGTGGGGCGGGGGCTGGCCGGGCTGCTGCTGCCAGCCGCTGTCGCCGCCGCCCGCGCCCCCGCCGCGCTCCGGGCCCCGCCCCGGAGCCATCACCGCGTTGGGCCACTTGACGGGGCCCGAGCCCATCTGCTGGGTCAGCATGGCCGCCGAGGTCCGCTCGGGCCCGTACACCACCGAGTTCAGCAGGGCCAGGCTGTTGGGGAGCTCCACGGGCTGGGAGGCCGGGGCGGCCCCCGTGGGGCCCTCGTGGCCGAAGTAAGGCTCCTCCTTCCCGCGGGCGGGCGGCGGGGGCGGGGCCGGGGGCTGCGCCGCCGGGGCCTGCAGGGCCGGGGGCGGCTGCTCCTTGGCGGCGGCGGCTTCCTGGTCCCCGAAGAGGCAGCGCTTCCGCTTGTTCTGACCCCGGGGCTGGGCCTGGAGGTTCATGGTGTGGCCAACGGGGCCGGCCCGGGGAGGGAGCGAGACCTCCTTCACCAGTTGCCCATCCCCTAGGGGGAGGTCCTGCTGGGAGCCCCCTGGTCCAGGAGCCAGAGGGGGCGGGGCAGGGGCAGGGGCAGGAACGTGGGCCGGGCGATGGGGTCAGGCGCAGGCAGAGAGGATGGTGGGCGGCTCCTCTCTCGTCACGGAGACACTCTTGGGCTTGCCTACGCCTCCCGGTTCATGATGCTGCGCGGGTCCTGGAGCCTGCAGACAGAAGAAGCAGAGCCACAGCGTCAGCCACAGCCTCCCACGATGCCCCAGGCGTCAGCCAGGTCCGACGGAGGGGCCCCTCGGGTCCTGGCTGCAAGTGGTGTGACTTGTGAATTGCACAAAGCTGTCTGCCCAGGGGGGCGGGGGCTGCGATCCAGCCGAGCTCCTTCCTGGGGTCACGCTAGGACAGGGGGCGGCAGAGGCCATGTCCGGTTCCTTCCCCCTCCTAAGCCAGGCCTCCGTTCCCTGGGCGGCCCGGCCTGGTCCTCTCCCATCTGCCCAGGCAGGCACCTCCCCATCAGACCCAGAAGGAGCATCCGTCCAGCTCACGCCTCGTCGGATGCCCCACGCACATCTCAGACACAGAAAGGGGAGGGAACGGGCGCCATTCCCAGCGGTGCTGTCCCGGGCTCAGGAGCCCACCGGGTCCTGGCAGCGTCCAGGCCTCAAGGCGCCGCCCGCTCGGGTCCTTGGCACCGAGGCTGGCAGGCGAGGCCCCAGGAGAGTGTGTGCCGTCCTAGCCCCACCCCTGGGAGGAGCCGCTGAGTGGGATGGAGGCTGCCAGAGTCTTCCCCAAAGGAGCACAGGAACCTGTTTTGCCGCCCTGGCAGGCTGGAGGCAGGATGCCGCCTCGAAGCTGGTCAGCAGTGCTCACCCAGCCGCCTCCCCCGCCAAAGAGCTCCTGGCATCCCGAGCAAACGTGAGATGCTGAAGGAGAGGGCTGCTAGAACTCGCGTTCGGAGGGCTTCTCCAGGACATACGTGGTGTGACTGAAGTGCTTCTGTGTGTGTTTTCTAACTTGATGTGCAAAAAAAAAGAGAGAGAAAACAAAACAAGCCGCTCTACTGATCCTGCTACAGAACATGCAATCCAGACCAGCATAGCTTGCGTGTATTTTTTATTATGTACGTGTGAATGGTAACGTACACGCATAACTTGCATGTCTTTTCAAAGACTTGCTTCCGAAGCGGTTACATGTCCCTCCCTGAGCAGTGGGTAAGGGTGGGAGCTGCGTGACTCACTTCTTCCCCCGGCTCATTAACGTGCTGGTCCTGAGCCAGCCGGGCGGGGAGGGGAGGGGAGCCGAGGGGGGCCAAGGAAGCCCTAGGAATGCATCTGCACGTCCAGGCTGACCTCAGCCCTCAGCCCTCAGCCCCTCGAGGCCGCAGGTCGCTGTTAGCAGCCAGGAGGCCGGCGGAGAGCAGAGGAGGGCTGGGGCGGGGCGGTGCCGGGCAGGCGGGGGTATGAAGGCCTGGCTACACCCCAAGGTGCCCCGGCCCAGGGAGGCCCCGGCGCTATCGCCCGGCGCAGGCTTCCGCAGCGCCGGCCCGGCCCTGCCGCAGCCGGTGACTCACGCCCGCCCGGCCGGCCTTTCACTTTCACCGGCACCCAGAGGGGAGGAACTTCCTCCTCCATTTCCTTCCTCAGCTCCGGCCCGAAGGGGGTGCGACTCTGCACGCCTGTACCCCCTTTTCTCCACACGTGGAAACTGGAGGAGGGCGAGAGGCCAGGAGGGCACCCCGGCACCTCGGCCCGGCAGGAGGGGCAGGGTGTGGACAAGCAGAGTGCTGGGGGCCGCGGAACGCACCTTCAGAACAAGCCCCTTTCTCCTGCTTTAACTCTCACTCCCTGACCACCCAATTCGGAGCAGACACCAGAGGCCTGCCCCAGGTTATTAATAATAATAACAATAACAACAATGAAAACGACCCCGGGTGCCATTTCAAAGCTGCAGGATGGGACTGTGGGACTGTCCTGGCTGCAGGAGCCGGGCTCTGCCTCCCCAACTGGCACCAATGGACTCAAGAACGTGTCTGCAGAAACAAGACGGAGGCAGGAAGAACGTGCTCAAGCTGAGGGGAGGGAAAGGGAGGGGAGGGGAGGGGAGGGGAGGGGAGGGGAGGGGAGGGGAGGCAGGGGTTGCCTCCCAGGGGTTGGAGCCTCTCAGGCACTTACACGCTTACCTGAACCGGGCTTCTCCTCCCCCCACCATACACAAACACCTCCCCCGCCTTACCCCCCATCACAGCCCCGTCACCCAGTGAGACAGCCACGGGCTTGGAGTCGGGGGTGAGGGAAAGCCCGCGTGGCAGACGGGACGTGGTGCACGTGTGTGTGTGTGTGTGTGTGTGTGTGTGTGCGCGCGCGCACGCCTGCTGGAGGGCACCCAGACCCCAGGCACAGGATGGCCGCTCGCCCCGTCGGAGAGGGCAGGCCCTGCACGCTGGGCTGGGCGGGGAGATGGGAGTGGAGCCTGTGGATGGGGCTCCATGCAGAGCTGCTCAGGCCCCCAACACCCCAGGCTGGACCACCTGCCGCTGTCTGGTCAGGCCTGGAGGGGTCAGGCTCAGCTGGTTTGCCTCCCTCCACCGCCCTGCACCTCAGGGAGGGCCAGCAGCTCAGAAGAAATCGAGGGGGCCGGTCCTGGGGGGACTGAGCTCCCCCAGAAGCTTTGGCAGAGGCCTCCCTGTCACCCCCACTGGCTGGCTTGGCTAAGAGTGCTGATCACGGACACCCAGGCCTAGGATCCCCTGAAAAGAAAGGCCATTATGTGGGGAACGGAGAGAAGTGTGGGAGATGCCTGGGAATCCTGCAGGAAGGAGGGGAGGAAGGCAGCAGGCCACTAAATAGTAGCAGTAGCAGTTGTTAACAATAATAATAATAACAATAACAACAACGACGACGTATTTGTACCAAGCAGGTCCTAAGTGCTTTCTTTATATGTGTTTAATTCCCACACCAGCTTTATAAAGCAGCACGAAGCCAAAGCATTATCTTTTTTAAAAAAATATATATATTTTATTGAGTTTTTACAGAGAGGAAGAGAGAGGAATAGAAAGCTAGAAACATTGATGAGAGAGAATCATCGATCAGTTGCCTTTTGCACCCCCCCCCCCCCACCCCTCGGATGTGCCCGCAATCAAGGAACATGCCCTTGACCGGAATCGAACCTAGGACCTTTCAGTCTGCAGGCCGACGCTCTATCCACTGAGCCAAACCGGTCTGGCCAAAGCATTATCTTTAACACCCATTTCACAGGTGAGCTAACGATGACGCATTAATGATGCTGCAGAGCCAGGCCTTGAACCCTGGTGTGTCTGAAGCTTCCACGACCGAACTCTGGTTCCTCATCCCCAAGGCATGCCCATGCCACCAAAGACACCTTCCTTCCACCGCTCCCTCCCCAGCGTCTCAGAGCAAGGGTTTCTGGGCGCAGATATTCCTTCTCTCTGTCCCTGAGAAGCCTCTCCCCCTGCCTGAACCTTTGGCAGGTATACCTCTTCTCTCCCCGCCCCAGGCCAGCTGAGACCCAAAGGTAAGGTGACCAGACGTCCTGCTTTTTTTTTTTTTTTTTTTTTTTTTTTTTAATATATTTTATTGATTTTTTTTACAGAGAGGAAGGGAGAGAGATAGAGAGTTAGCAACATCGATGAGAGAGGAACATCGACCAGCTGCCTCCTGCACACCCCCCACTGGGGATGTGCCCGCTACCAAGGTACATGCCCTTGACCAGAATCGAACCTGGGACCTCTCAGTCTGCAGGCCGACGCTCTGTCCACTGAGCCAAACCGGTTTCGGCCAGACGTCCTACGGACACATACCATTCCCCACGTGCCCTTGGCAACCCTGCCGCCTGTCCAGCACCCGCTGGGAGAGTCCAGTGAGCAAGCCCTCGCCATAGCGTGATGGGACCACGCCATGACCAGTCAGGGGACCAAAGACACTGCCTGACATGCTTGGGGCATTCCGTGTGGCCGTCGGAGAGAAAAGACGGCTGTGAGTCAAGGGCACACAGGCCAGGAAGGAGGTGCCCAGCTTGGTGCCAGCGGCTAATGGCTCAGCTCGAGGTGGGGGTGAGAGTTGACTGGAGGACCCCCCCTGGATCTTTGGAGCTAATGTCTACACTCCTATTCTCACAACCGGGACCACCCCTACCCCTCAACATACACCGGGAAGAGGGCGAGTCAGAGCTCATGCAGCTCTAACCCAAGAATGGCATCCAACAAGGCCCAAGTCTCTAAGTCAGCCAGTTCCCGAGCACCAAAGAGGCTCTCATAGGACGAAGCCCCAAACTTCCTCTCCTGCCCAGAAGTCCCCGCAGACGGGCTCCTGCCACCTCTCTCGCCCTGCCACGTCTGTGCCATCGTGCACTGCTCTCATCGTGCACTGCGCTGTTCCTGCTTCGTGCCCAAGTCTCTGCCCGGGCAGTGCCTCTGCCCGGGACCCCTTCCTACCTCTGTCCTCTGGCCACGTCGTCCTCATCCTCCAGGCCTTACACTGCTCCCCCTGGGAAACCCTCCCTCCCCCCAAGAGTAAGCCGGGAGTTCCACCACGAACCCCGAACGCCTCCCACACGCCCACCGCAGCACCCAGCCCAGTGCGTTCCAGGGACGACGCGTTTCTTTGTCCCCAGCACCTTGCCAGCTGCACAGCACCGCTCTTGGAACCTGGCTGGCATCCGCCTGTCGCGATGCTCATCCCGGACTGCGCCCACGGTGAGTCAGAGCCGTGCCCGGGCAGAGGTGCTCTTCTCAGCCGGCGTGTCCACCTGGAGCTCCCGCCCAGCCCTGATTGCCAGTCTCCCCGCCGATCAGAGTTCCCGGGATGCTGAGATAAAGTGGAAAGGCCCCATCTCCTAGCCACCACCACCCTTTTTCCCATTCCACCCCCATCAGGGGCCCCAGGCCCTCACCAACGAAGCTAAACCCAGATCCTTCTCCGACTGCTGGTCCACA